TGTCAAAAATTTTAATAAGATTGTAATTTAGAATTTGAAGATCCAGGTAAACTACATCATCTTGAAGTGCATTATTAATTCAAATAAATTATATATAATGATTAAATGTAAAATTTGTTATCTATAAAGACATTTAAAATAGTATAAAAAATATTTTGTAATCACCAAAAGCCATGAAATGAAGAGGGCATGAAATTTTCAAAAACGTTCTTGTATAAAACACACACTCCAAAAGAAAAGAAGATTAAAAGAACTCTTGAAGTGATTTTTAACTTTTCGACTGATGCATAAATTCTTATCAACTCATTACAAAATCAAAATTTCCAAATACCAAGTATGCTATATTAAATTCTATTACTGTTACATGAGAACATGCAAATGTGATGTACAGCAAAAAAAGCTTTAAAAAGTTTGTGAAAATGCATCAAAAAACACACACACACCTGAATTTTAAATTACTTTATATTAAAGTTTCCTTTTTTGGTGAATCACCAAAATTACAGCAAACTAGTATGCAAATAAAAATAAAGTCAGATTATAAAATTCTTGATGAAAAAAATCTTTAAAAACATAGAAAACTGACTGCTGCCTTTATAATTAAAACACATTTTTTATTACAATGAAAGGTACTGCTCTGTTATTGGTTTATCTGTTTAAAAAATGTATGAATGCATGCACGTGTGTATGTATGTATATGTATACACACACAAACATTTGTGCTTACATATATACATACATGCATACATGAAAGCAAACATCCATACATACATTTCTGGATCCAGTTGTCATAAAAGAACAGTACCAAATGAAATTTACATATAAATTGAGTTACAAAAAAATTTTTGTTTCCAAGCATATATTTATTTCTATAAATGTGTTATGTATTCAAAATCTTCCTATTCTTTTTTGGACTTCAAGATGAATCACTATTTTGCATCTCTCCATTTACCCTTAATCTGAGTACAAAATAAAATCTAATAGCATCACCATTGACTGAATTACCCGGTTTAATGATTAAAATGCTTGGTCTTACATAAAAACGTTTTTGGAGAGAGTGGAGGAATATTAAAAAGGCAGTACTATCAGACAAAAATAATAATATGCAACTTCAGGGACACAATGGCAAATTCAGATTACAAACTTTTTAAAAACTTCATCCACTTGTAAAAAATAAATCCACTTCCCTACAGGTATGTTTTTGCTATATTCAAGCATAATTATGTTGTATATTCTAATACAAAATTAATACATATAATCCTCCATCATTATCTTCATATGGATTTTATTCATAATCTCTAAGATATGCACTAAATTGTTTTTTAACTCAAATGATCATGAATTTAAACAACTTAATCTATGGTATTACCAGAAATTTTAGAATTTAAAATCTAAATACTAAACAAACCCACTAAAGAAAAAATTGTTATAATAAATTTGTTATTAACTTATTTCACTCCTTATTATAAAATAGCAATAGTTACAACATCATGTTAAAACATGCTTAAAGCCCAAAAAATACTAACATCAGAAATACATTTAGCCTGCATTTATATTAAAAGTTGATTTTAAAAAAATATTAGCTACTAACCTTTGCATTGCATGCCTTGTCTAATAATTCCTTTCAATAATTTTTTACAATGAAAACACACGGTGGGCCGAGTATATGAATGAATTTCAAATCGATGAGGTACTTTCATTTTTCCTGTCGATAACTTTTCAGTACATAATGATCTACCAGGAGGTAACGATGGTGATTTCCTATTGCGATTAGGTGATGTGGACTGAAACTACAACAATATAAACTTTTATCAGAAATTTAAATTCCTAACTGAAAAAATATTTAATGAAATCTTAAATATATTAATAATCTAATCAATATTTTGCATCCTTATTACCTATCAAATACAATTAGACCAAAAGAAAGACATAATTTATAATGACAATATTTATAGAATGATCATACAAGAAGGATCATTATCAGGACAGAAATTCACATCATCATGATCAAAATACTTTATTCTACCAATATTTTAAAAAGTTGCATGAGTAATTAATATCATCTGCTGCCATGGTTTCATTCTTTTAAAATATGACCAAAGAGATTACATGAAAATCATTTGGAATCCCCCTGATCATTTCGAGCAGAACTAAATAGTTTTTGTTTTTCATTCATGTGTAGGCGAACTATCTTTTTCGCAATATTTATAGTTTCTAATCATGGCTCTGTTTTGGAATCTAGGGTTACTAACACTCACTACTCTCGCAGTGTTTTTAGAATTATCCCAGGGCCATAACTTAGAACTGCTTTTACTTTCATTGTTTATTTTTAGTTCCTGATTGAACGTTTTCGTAGTCGACCAATTTTTCAGCTAGTTCGCTCGCATTTACATATTTAGGCCATGAATCAATAAAATGTTCCCTCATAGAATTCGGAACCCTTCTTTTCAATTAATCTGTTATAATTAATTCTTTTAAGGAATCACAATCATTTATTTTTAATCCTGCTAAGCATTCATTAAAGTAGTTACGAATTTCAAAAACGAAATCTGTCCATGTGTTTTTTGAATCCCTAATATGATTAACAAATTTCTGGCAAAATTTTTCTTGACTTAACTTAAAACGTTTTAATACTAAATTCTTAACAAATACATACTCATTAGCTTGTTCTTCAGATTCTCTGGCTATCAGTTGTGTGAACTCGAAAGGTAAAAGCCCTAAAAAATGAAAAATCTAATCGTCTTCATACCCCACCCGTTTGGCTTGACGTTCAAATATCACTAGGAATGAAGATATGTCTCCATCCTTTAAATCGAATTTGCATAAGACATTTCAAATCGATACATTTTTTTGTTTTCTCACGTGCTTTCATTATTTTCTGTTGATGTTTTGGACATTAATTTTTATTTTCATTTAAAAGTTTTAGTTTTTGTAATTCAAAATTCCTTTGTTTTTCCCGATCTTCAGCTTCTAACTGAATTTGTTTTTCATGTTCTTGAAACTCTAATAGTCTTCATTTTTTCCATTCTTCAGCTTCTAACTGAATTCCTTTTTCGTGTTCTTGAAACTCTTAATAGTCTTTGTTTTTCCCGTTCTTCAATTTCTAACACTCTTTGCTTTTCCCATTCTTGAATTTCTAATTGTGCTTGTTTTTCTAATCTTTCATCTTCTTTCTTAAGTCTTTCGTTGATAATTCTTTCAAAGACTTGTTTTACAAACAGTTCGTCATAATTTTTACTATTAGCGGTGATGTTTTTAATCGTAATCACAATGGTGTCTGGTGGAACAATTTCCGTCACAGGTTCAATTAGATCGCTTTTGCGTCCCTTGCCAAGAAAAGACATCTTTAAGTTACCTTTTTATATACATTTAATCGTTTAATACTTATTATTGATACGTTTAGTGACTTCCGAAGATACGTTTAAAAGCTTTCATGCATATGTTTAATGTTTACGTTGATATGCTTAATAACTTTAGAAGGGAGTTAAAAAAAAAAACCTTTTCCATTTTTACATCAAACCTTCAATAGCGTTCAGTCACAATAGATCGACATCAACATCATCATCATCAATCCCGCTTCTGAAATTGTTGGTGTCAGGATTTCTCTATTACATTTATATACACTATGTTTATCGTTTTGTTTTTACGCTATTTATCAGGACAGAAATTCACAACATCATCATCAAAATACTTTATTCTACCAATATTTTAAAAAGTTGCATGAGTAATTAATATATTTGTTGCCATGGTTGCATTCCTTATCTCTCGTTTTTATTATTACAAATGCTTTGAATATCTTTTAATATCATGACGCCATCTGGCGGTAGACTGCAGAAATTGCTAACATATCATACACAAAAAAATTAGAATTTCAACATTATAATTACTATTAATAAGAAAAAACAAGATTAAATTTCTATTCCATGATGCTTAAAACACTGATATACTTATATCTTAAAAATTATACATTGTTACTGATGCAATCTACGAAACATAGATAAAAATGGAAAAAAATAAGAAAAATAATTTTACTCAATTCCCTTAATAACATTGATGAGTACTAAAACACAAAACAAATAAAAAGAAAGAAAGAAATGAGATAATGCATACTACAGATAAAGCTTATTTGTTCAGTGAGTATTATTTTACTTCAATGAACTACAGGAACGTAGGAAAATACATATACATTATTAAGAAAACTAATTTAAATATCAGAAATTATTAAGAAAACTAATCCAAGTATAAGCATCAAGTTGAGAATTAGAGAAATTAGTATTAAAAACTAATGATAATAAACCTAATTTAAGCATGCATTTAAAACTTTTGTACATTATGAGAAACATATACACATTAGAAATTATTTTTAATAAATTTTAAGATGCATAAAAAAATCCAAAATTATGAGATACTGTTTAAAAAATATATGTCACAAAACAGGATTAATCATAAAAAAACAGTATAACAAAACAAAAACACAGAGAAAGCAAAAAGGTAAATAATGATTAAGACATTAAACAAAGGAAATTTTAACATTTTGGTTAAAACAAAGGGCAGTTTAATTAAAACATACAGTGATAAAACAGGGATTAATTATACATACTGTTGCCATATTTGGAATGCTCAAAGAAACACCCACTTGATCAGACTGCTGTGGAGTATGCAGAAATGTTGAGGACTTCCGCCGTCGGGTGTGAGAACAATTATTTGGAATTTTATATACACATCTCTTATGAAAACTTAAGCCACATCCTAAAATTCAAGATATATACATAGTATCAAATTTTAAACTATGAAATATATACAAATAGCATTTCATACAATGTTAATTGTTATTTTTCAAACTAAACTGCTCTAAAAATATTCACGTTTACCACTTTTTTGAATTGGGCTTCACTTTTATGATGTTTTACATGATCTGTTTATTAAAAATCACAAAAAAATATATAAGAAACATGAAATTTTATGAGATAAAACAAAATCTATGTGGCTGATATTTACATTTTTTTAGCCAGGGAATATTTTCAACTATACTTTCAAACTATGAAACAGTCTCATATTCACATATACAAATGCATGTGTGGGTTGGCTGTTGTCACATGTGTGCTCAATCCATGCCAAAAACATGACAATTCTACCAAATAATGAAACCAAAGATATGGATAATCAGAAAGTACTGAAATTTCTAAAGGAAATTGTCCTATATTTATATTACACAAATGATAAACATGAAATGTTATACAACAGTCATTAAATTGTTGGGAATGAAGCCCAGAGCAAATTACCAACATTTTACAGCTTTAAGACAAACAGCCACTGATAGGCCTACAACATAATAAAAGGGAGGAAATTAGATTATGACTACAGACTGATATACCACGTCAATTTATATTTAGTGCTGAAAAGGAAAGGTTATTAGCAGAATTAGCTACAGCTGGATGAGATTTTGTTTCCCAACAGGAATCAGTGATCTTCGAGAATTTTTTTCTAAAGGTCTGAAGAAATGAACACCACAAGGTAACAGGTCAGAATCCTAAGATGCATGACTTTGAAGTTCCCATCTGAAGCAACCTTGTTACAGCAATGCATGATATGCCATTAATAGACAACAGAACTATATCATGACTATGTATAAATTTAATGCTTTTTCTTCAAGTTGAAGTAGTACAACAGGCTGTAATAGTAGAATACAGTAGAACCACTTGATAAAATGCAGATCTTTTATGGAAGAATATCAACATAAGCTTGACAGTATTTATAATAAACTAAGCCTCTTTCTCAATGTTAAAGGTTGATATTTCTACTGCATATTCATACATTTTAAGCTAAAAATGATGGAAATAATTTGTGACATAAACCTTTTAACAGAATTTCAGTAACTTCTAATTCAGAAGCAACATCATATGTATGCAATTAAATGCCATATATATAAAATATTGCTTTTCTCTCACAAGACAGTGCTAATGAACCCATAAGGCATACACTCTCAGTAAATCAGAAGCTAGGGACTGACAGAATTAATACAATCTCCTACAAGTCAAATAATTTCTATCAATGAAAATGCATAACTGTAGATTAAGCTAGCTTTGATAAATGTATAATGAAAGTAAAAGCAGAAAAATGGATGTCAAATTCACTGCATATGAGAAATGTCCTCTCACCTGCCATTTCCTGTTTTTTAACAGCTTCCTAACGTAGCAACACTATTCACTGAATAGAATATATTGACTTCACAAATGCTGTAATCTTGTGGGATTGTTTTAACGTCACCAAACACAAAAATCTTGAGTTTAATTCATTTTCAATGCTTTAAATTTAAAAAAAAAAAAAAAAAAATTAATAGTCACCTAGTAGCACCCATGTTCATAAATTACTAACTGCAAGTATTAATTCATAATTCTTTTAATTTATTCTACCAGAGATTTAAATAAAAATGCTAAACTCCTTCCCTCCCTTAACTTGCATTCTAAAACCTTTCGAAATCTTTGCTCCCAATGAAAATAACTAAATTTAGGTTGAGGGAGAGAGGAACAAGCATCACATAATTAATGATAATGTAAACTTCAATAAAAAAATCATTTAGTTCTACAGATTGGGTTGGGGGAAATATATATTTTCGACTAATTTAATCTAACCATATAATCTTACAATCATCATGTATAAAAAAAAAAAAAAAAAAAACACAGATGAAAGTCAATATTTTTAAATTCAAAACTCAGATTGCTGTATCCCTAACCTCCTGGGACCCTTGGTACCCAATTGGGGACTTCAGTACATTAGCATTTACTCCAATAATAAACGTTTGACTTAAATCCCAGAGTACCCAATTGGGAAAAAACTGATCTTTATTGTCTGCTAAAAGAGCGCAGCACCATACTGATGTCAAACTATTTTATACAGCTTTGAAATCGAGAAATGAGAGAAATTGGCATCTCGACCGACTAAAGGTAAGTTATTTTTTTAATATTAATGATTATAATTATTAAGTTTTTACTCATTTTTTCAACTAAGAAGTCTATAAGCTTTATTCCTACATGCATTTTTGTAAAATTACTTTAGTTATTGTTTTCGATTTTTTTCACTTAGAAAAGAAAGTACCCGTTTGGGTACCTTGGAATCAGAGTATACCGATGATGCTAAATGTTGTTTTCATTTTTTTCAGCAAAATATTTGACAGATGAAGAAATCAAAGTGTTGCTTGAACAAGGAACTTTCTGATGTTGATTATCCAGACTTCGAAAATATTCCAGAAAGTGATACTGATTCTGAACATCTGGAAAATGAAAGCATTCTAACATCTGAAGAAAATGAATGTCTTCTTTTGTCAAGTGCATTTGGTATCAAACCTGAAAGCAGCTGTAAGAGGTGGGCAAAAGAACAAAGACAGCGAGTAGATATCAGACAACCTGTTATTGTAAGGGTGTATAGCACTTACATGGGAGGTGTTGATATGATGGACAAACAAACAAGATTTGGGCATTCCCTGCTCCATGCACTCGCACACTACAGGTCCACTCTCCCTTTGGGCACTTCGTGGAGGTTCAACCTCCACTATTACCCTTCCAGGGGAGCAGCACACCACCTGGATAGGACACCAGGCAGTACTGGTCATCAATTGCTCCTGGCAGTCGCATGGGCGACCCCATTGCAGAGGGTCGTTATCCAGCCAACCCCGGCTACGGATCCAACCGCTCAAGACATACCAGAAGGATGTACGGTATGACCAAGTTGGCCACTTTTCTGAACATGTAAAAAGAGGAAATCAAATGAAATGTCGACTCCCAGGATGCCCAGGTAAATTAAGAGTAAGATGTATTAGACGTGATTTGTAGCCTACAAAACAGGAATTACTTCTTTGAATTTCATAACAAAAGACTGTTTAAAAAAACTACATACATTGATGTAACTCTTTACATCATTATAATGACATTATATGCATGTAGTTCCAAGATACCCATTTGGGTACCACTTAATTAACATAAATAAAATTTTCAAAATGTACTTTTTGTGTTTTTTTCTTTTTAATAGTTCCATTTTAAGTAAACACACAAGAAATTAGATAAAAATATTGAAGAATTACTTCTTGGGTCTCAAAAGGTTATAGGACATTTCAATATCTGACATCACTAAAGACAAAACTTCTTAACACATATTTTTATACATCAAAAGATTATAATTTAAAAAAAAAAAAAACCTGCTAATTCTACTTATCATAAATTGCACTTTGATTATATATTCTTTAAAATTTTGCAATAATAGCATTCCTTTTTTCTACTTTAGAAATTGGGATATAACCACAAACTAAATATTTAGTCATGCAATTGTCACAAAAATACATTATAAAATATTCTTTTAAATAAAATCCAAGGTTTCCCCCCCCCAATTCAGCAATGGTCCCTTTCTAAATTACTATTTACAAATAGTCCTGCTGAAACACAAGTGACATTTTTCTTGTCTCAGTATTATAAATTATATTTTCGAAATAAAATTAATCATATCAGTATTGTCATTCTACTTTTACCTTCCTATAAACTTGCATAAATTCTTTACAATTTCTACATTATTTTTTCTTCTATTCATAAAATACACTAAAGATCCTACACTAGATTTCAATTCCCGAGAAAGGGATTACACTTTTCATCTATTTGCTTTAATGCATACAAGTCAGAACTAAAACAGCTCTAAATTCCCACATTTAAGAGGGGCGAATATCAGAAAATGAAATCTTTTAAATGATTTTTTATAATTCTTTATCATTTTCTCCTTTGTTAAAATTCAAACACACTACAATCTTTGACTGGCTTTCTTTAATACTTTATCAAAGGCTACCAATATGCACAATTCTGATTCTAATGCTGTCTCTCAAAGAAGGAAATGGACATGTACAAAATACATTTGCAACTCTTTGTAAGAAGGAAACATATATCATAATCTCTAAAAATGCTCAGAATCACTTATGTATTCAAACTAATATCAAGAAGTTTAACCACATAAAATAAAAATCATCTAAATTATTAATGTTATTAAGAATTATGTGTACAGATTCTTTTAATGCAAAATATCTGAAAGTTTGAATTTGCATGAACTTTATGTGCTAATCTGCTTTAGTTTTGAAAGCTTTTATGCTCAATTAGAAATTAATTATATGTCATTTGACTATATTACCAATACTTATTAGAAATGACTAATCACAACATTTTCCTTACGAAGATAAATTACTTAATATAACAAACACAAGATTAAAAATATTCGAATATGAAATAATATGTGACTACTGTTTATCCCCTCTCCCCCCTCCAAAAAATATTCCTGTTCAATGATATTACTGTTTAAGGGACCGATTTTATACTAGCATTAACATCAAAATCATATATTTAAAAAAATATGCAATGATACTTCAGTACCCTTTTTAGAATTTTTATCAGGCACGATAGAAATTAAAGACTTTTCAAGAATATTATATTTTGAAAAACTAAGTACCACTAAGCATGTATAGTTTTGCAAAGTAATGAAATGGAGAAACAAATAAAAAATATCAAAAACAGATTAACAGATGAGTAGAGAAAATGCTTTTTATAAAAAAACTTTTTTTTTTTTTTTTATGTTACCAAAAAAAAAAATTGAAAAGGACATGCATAGAAAAATTAAACAGAGTATATTTAACTAATTAATATAGTTTTGTGTACTCTGAACATGCTAAAAAGTATGCAACATGAAAATTGGCCACTTTACTTACCCAAACACTATAAGAT